TTAGAGTATATGTCAAGGTTGCTTCGAGTTTTCAAACGTTTCGATGTGTTTCAGATATTATCCGCTCTTGAGTTTGTTTTAGACGTTTAGATTTACTGTTATGTGTTAAGCAGTTGTTTATTTGGAGTTAGTTGAGAGTGGTTCAGAGTTCTGGTGTCAAGTTTTTCAAGTTCGAGTTTTCCCCCAGGTTTTGTCTCAGAGTTGTGTTGAAGTTGTTTAGGGTTTGAGATGTTTGCTGGTTTTGGTTCAGGGATTTTTGACGGTTTTCGAGTGAGATTTTCACATAGTGTTGGCTCATATGTTTTGAAGTGTGTTTTTTATGGTTTGAGATGTTCGCAGGTTTTGGCTGAGATATTTTTGGAGGTGATTCTAGCATTTGAGAATTTCGCAGGTTTAGGCTTTGAATTAGAGTTTGAGCCTCTTCGCGCGATATGGCGGTGGACCGCCTGTAGCCGCTGTTGCCGAACCCAAACCACGGAAGTTTCCTCTCGTGTTGGCCGCGCGAGTGAGGGCGCTGTTGGGCGCCATCGGGACGACCAACAGATTCCGTGAGTTGCTTCGATGTGATTCGATATCGATCTTGGTTGGACCGATCCGAGTCAGAATTCGGACCGGTCCGTCGCGGCACGATGCTTGCATGACGCTGATGGGCATCCTGGAGCGGCCGACCCGCTCCGACTCTGCCTCCGTGGTCCTGGCTGGTGCGGCCCGATCCGACACGGGTTCCCGATCCGATGCTCACAGATCCTGCCCTGCGCGCCCTTTCCGCGCCCCCCTCCTTCGAAACGGGGGGGGGGCTTCTCAGAACGCAGGGACCTTCGGAAGGCCAGGAGGCTTCAAGGAGGCCACTGGCAAGAAGGTTTCCAAGAGGCCATCTTCCCTCTGTGAAACTCCCCCGCCTCAGAAGGCAGACCCCCCCTACTGGGAGGTCAAGTTCAGCATCGGCGGTGGTATATGCGTCATCGATTACCGGCCTAATCCAGCATAGTCCCGCTTCATTCCGCCCAACCCCGTAGAGACCGGCTTGATGAAGTTCAGTTTGAGCTGTCTGCCCCAATCCGGCCTAGTCGCCCCTTCGGTCGAGGCCCGCAGCCCCATGCCGTTCCTGTAAAGACTTTCCAGGAGATGCCTCCTCTGACCTCTCGCGCGTCGCCAGTGGCCCCAATGCCAGCGTCGGCGGCCGCGTTGCGAGCGCGGGAGGCTGCGATGGGCCTCGCCTCCGCGGCCGCCGCCCTCGGCGGAAGGCGCCCGCGCCTCAGCAGCACTCCTTCGCCTCGGCAGCCGCCTGCGGCCCGCTGCGCCCGCCGACCCCTCGGCGCGCGCGATCGCCAGCCTCTCTCGCGCAACCGCGCAGCTCCGGCAGGTTTTTGGCAGCCGGGGGGGCTTCACCTCCAGGAGAAACAGGGGGGCCGCAGCGAGCACGGCCGCCCCGCCCGCGGGGCACAGAACACCACCAAGGAGACACGCCCCGGTTGCCCGTTGAGGCCCGCGCGCTCCCCTGGCTCGGCCCGCAACGGGTTCTCCACCGTCCCAGGCCGCCCCGAGCGTCAAAGAAGTCACGTTCGGGAGGTGCCCATTCATGTTCGGCTTGTGCCCTGGGACCGTCAGGAACAGCGGCTCGGGACGAAGGGCCAGTCCCGCGAACAAGGTCCATCACGACGTCAGGGATCGTTTAGTTTGTTGCGGCGGCACGTAGGATGAGTCTTTTGCCAAAAATGACTCCTGGTGCGGGCCGGCAGGGCCCCCCATCCACATTTGGTCCCCTCTCGCAGCCGTCCCAATGCCGCGCCGCGCACCAGGGGCCATTCCTGCCCAGAGCCAGTCTTTGCGTGTAGCCGATGAGGACGAGGCCGCGCGGCCTGCTTCGGCGAGGGTCTTCCGTTGATCGGCCTCGCCTTGTCTTCGGGGCTGTGCCCGGGCTCCCTCGGAGCCGCCCCTCCCCTCTGCCTCTGCTGGCCGCTCGTCCTGCGCCTCGCGCCCGAGTTGTTCCAGGAAGCGGCCCTCCCGTGGCCCCCGCCTTCCCTTCCGTGCCACAGGAGACCCCCCAGGGGCAACGCCCAGGCGGGGATCGGCTCAGGGCCCAATCGCCCATTCATCGCCCATAACCAAAGAAAACTATGTTTGTGGAGGACGATCAATGGAGAGGAACCATGTTGCCAATGTCTATAACATGTATCAAACAGGTCTTAAATATTTCAAATGTGTAAAACATGTTTCTGACATGTTTCCTACAGGTTGAACACATTCATAATTCAATGATCCGACTGTTAAGGTGCCCGTTGGTCGTGGCATCCCCAAAACAATGCGGGGGTGTTTTCGCTTGTCCGCTCGTCAGGCAGGCCGGGGGCCCAAAGTGGCGGGTGAGCTCGGGAGCCCCCACACACACATGCGGAGATTTGGGCGTGAGGTTTTTTTTTCCGCGCATGGTGAAAAGTGAAAAATTGCCGTCCGCAGCGCAAATGCAATGAGTAGTGCGCCTTGCCCACGCTGCGCAGTGCCGCGGCCTGCTCGCACAACCCAGCTTGCGACCACTGGAGTGTTGCTGCGCGCGAGACTCGGCTGTGTCCCATTTGTTGGCAACGTCGCCATATTGAGTCTGCCGACCCGCCCTTCCGCTGCATACCCTAGTCCAGCGCGCGCGCGGGGGGCGCGGCTTTACATAACCCCCCCCCCCGTTCATTCTGGCCTTGGCGGGCGCTCTGCCGACCCGCCCTTCCGCTGCATACCCTAGTCCAGCGCGCGCGGGGCGCGGCTTTACATAACCCCCCCCCCCGTTCATTCTGGACCCGGAGGGCGCCCTGCCGAGGCGCCTGGCCTCGGCAATTCGTCGTCGTCTGCTCCGTGGGGGGTTTGCGGGCACGGAATTTGTATGGCGGTGGCGAAGCGGGCCGATGCGATGACCGACGGGTGGGGTTGTTGCGCGGTGATTCTGGAGATTCCGCAGGGCCTGTCGCGAGTCCTCGCGGAAACGAATGGGAACAGTGATGGCGACTTGCACGCCGAGGAAAGGGGTTGTCACGACGGCGCTTGGTTCCCGATAGAGCCCTTCAAAAGGGGTTCGGTTGCCCCAGAAAAGGTGCCGTTGGGTGAGGCGGCGCGGTCGTGATGCCGAACAGACTGGAGCGCCGCACGGTGATCGGTCGCAGCAGGGCCTCCCGAGATTCTCTCGTGTATGGTGCCTTTTCTGTGAGAGGTTTGGGTTCGGGCGCTTCGCTGCTGCGAATTTCGGGGTTCATAGGCTGGCCACGCATGCAGATTTATCATCGTCCTACCTATGCTACTCCTACTCATGCTCTCTCATTTCGCTCAATTCACCCTCGTCCTCCGTCTTCCCGTCGCTTTGATGTGCGACGCTTTCTTGTCAGCGCGAGTGCGGGGGTGGCAACGGCGACCAGTGCTGGCGCAGTCGGGGGGGGGCGGCGCAAATGAGGGGAGGTTTCGCTCCCCCACGCCGCCGCTGGCGCAGTGGATATCCCCGCGGGCTTATGATATCGGCGTCATTTGCGCAGTACCACAGGCAGGGGGCAATTCATTTAGATGTTGGTTGCTCGCAAAAAACGATTGGGCATAGCGCTCCGACATTCAAAACCGCGCGGCGCCCCGTCGAAACGATTGAGTGTTTCCTTGTGTCGGAGTCTTCGCGCGCTCCGAAACCACGGGCCACGCGTTCCGAGACAGGTTCTTAAGGCCGAGCCCCGAACGGGAAATCACCGCGGCTGATCTTGGCGCGCCGAAGGACGGGACGGCTGAGCCAGAGAATCCACACTGGACTCCGGACTCCCACGCACGCGCGCCCCGCCGAAGAGCAGCCCGACATCCTGTCGGTCCGCGCTCCCGACGACGAGTCCAGGGCAGACCTAGCTTCCCCGGCCCAGGCGCCTCCGGAGGTCCCCAAGCAGGACAGGCCTGAGCAGGATAGCGTGCGCCCCGCTGCCTGGGAATTTGGGCAATCTTGGGAGGGATACGGCAGCGGGCGAAGCCACCAGGGCTAATGGTGGCGATTGGTTTGCGTCGGCTCCGCACCACGACCGCGGCGACCGCTGTGAACGGCCCCTGTCCTCCAACATGTACAAGAACCTTTCGACGCCACTGCCCGGGACCGCAAAAAAAAACGGTCGGCGAATGTTGCGATCAAGCGCCTTCAGCCCGAGGCCGGGTACATGCTGTCTGGCGCCTGGCACGCGTATTGCCAGCACCTGGCTTGGAACAGGGATCGCTGCCCCCGCTGGTATTCGAGACGGAGGGCCGCGGCCCGCCTGGGACTGGAACGTGAGGGGCCGCTATGACTTGCGGTGCGGTCGGATCGAGGTATATATAAGATCGAGGTTGGCTCGGGAAGGATATCTGAATGTTTTTCGTGCTTGGCGGATGCTCTGGCGCATCACGGGGGAGGGTACCCCTCCTCTCAACGGCCGTCCCCGCGCACCTTGGGTTCTGGGCAGCCGCGGGCCATCAGGGTGCAGGCGGTTCTCCCCGACCCCATTGTGTTCTAAGTGTTCTCCGTGAGCCAGTTAAACGTGCTTGCTGTGCACCTCTTGCACGCGCGTGAAGGACATCATGTTCTGACCACGGCTCTTTCTTTTCCGTTCCTCTATTATTCTTGGCCTTTTTAGCGCCGCAGTTCGTTTTCGGAGCGCCCCTTTCGTTGTTGACGGGCACTTGCCTCTTTGGCGCCCGCGGATCAAAAACAAGTTTCGGAGGCTTGGTGGAAGAAGAATGAAAGAGGAGAGAAAGTGAAAACGGAGCAGGAGGAGAAAGAGGAGGCGGAAGAGAACCAATGGCGGGGAACAGAAAGCATGCATGGAGGAGGGAGGAGCACGACGTGGGATGATGAGGGAAACGGGTGGAAGGGGAAGGAACGAAAGGACAAGGACATGGGAAGAGGCGGGATGAAGATGAGGAGGCCATCTTCCACTTTCTCCCCCGTCCTGCCCCCCCCCCCTTTTCGGGGGAGGAGGCGTCGCACCCCCTTGCCCCGCTTCCGCGCGCGCGAAAGAAAGGCGTTGTTGATGTCCGGCCGGCTGCAGCAGTGCTTCTCTCTCGCTGGGCGCGCGTATTTGGACCGCTGCGGGGCGGGGGGGAGAAAGTTGTCCTCGTCCGCGTCTTGCCCCTCAACTCGCTGTTTCGTAGTTCGGACAGGCCTTGTGCTGGCGTCGTGAACCACCGGTCGGGCCCCGTTTGAGAAGGGCCTGGGCCAGCACAGTCCCAACACAGATCCTCCACTTGCCCTCCAGTTCCTCAGTCACTGTTGCTTCCCGCATCCAGTCTGCTGCTCCCCCCTCGCGTTACCCCCGTCTTTTCGTTCCCTCCTCCCTGCCCGTCCCTTCCCCGAGCAGCGCGCCGGAATTCCTTCGGTCGGGTGGAGCGGCGGTCCTGATGGTGTTGCTCCCCCCCCTCGTCCTCCTCCTCCTCGACCTCGACCTTCGAGGATCGAGGACCAGATCGAGCATGGATAGACGTGTTTGGGGCGTTTGTCTTCGCCCTCTCGCGGACCTTTGGCCGCATCCTGGGACATACATCCGAAGGCCTCCTCTTGCGCGTCTTGCCATTCCTCTTTTCAGCTCTTCCTGCTCCCTCCTCCCTCCTCCCTTCCTGCTCATCCTGCATCCTGCTCTTGCTTCTTTCTTCCTTTCCGCTCGACGACGACAGCGGCGGAGGCGGCCTCCTCCTCGCCGTCGCCCTCCTCGGTCCTCCTCGCCGAGAACAGGGGCCTGGATTGCCGTTGTGAGCTGGCCGCCCAGGCACGATGAGTACCAGAGCGTCCAGGTGCTGAAGGTACCAAGGCGTGCGAACCGGGACGGTCGGTGCGAGAGCGCCCTCCTGGCGAGTGCGGCTTGGGCCAGGCACTCCCGCCGCCGTCACAGCACGAGGTGCGGGCCGGAGCTCGGGAGTAGTGTTCCTCCTCGGTCGGTCGGTCGGTCTGTCGGGGTCTGTTGGCGTTCAGTTGACGTATCATGTGGCCGACTCCAGACCTAGGAAATCAAACTGGAGGGGGACCAGAGCAGCACATGGGAAGCCGCCCTCGGCCAGCTTGCCCCGCCACGCCCCGGGGAAGAATGCAAGAGGCTTTAACTCGAGGGCCTTGAGCGAAGGTTCAAGAGCGTCGGGGGGGGGGGGGAAGGGGTCGTTCTTCCTCTTCGGCGCGCGCAGCCTATCCCGCCAGCGCTCTGCGTATTCGAGCCATTGTCCCTCGAATGGGCTTTTCCCCCAGGAGCGACACCCATGAGTCGGGCGTTCCTGGGGGGAGGGGGCTGCCCAGGCCAGGGCCTACGCGCTCCGATTGCGGGGAGGCGCGACGGCGACGCGGGGCTCCGACTGCAAGACGAGAGCTCTGCATCCAGATTGACACGCAGAGGTGTCCGGGAGCGGGCAGCTGACGCACGGGGCCTCCGACCGCCGTTGGGGATCTGCCAACCTTCGTGCGCAAGAATAATCCGATAGCCCTTATAACGGCGACGATGGAACACAGTGCCGGGGAACTGCTTTGAACATCACCAGTCGTTCAAAGCAGTGCCCCGGCACTGCTTTGAACGATGCGGAAATGCGATCAGCAGGAGCCTTCGTCTGTTCCTTCTCCTCTTCTCGTCGCTGTATGCTCTTCCTTGTCCTCCCTCCTCCCCCGTTCCCTCTCTAATTAATTACCTCGTTCTCCCAGTCTCACGCGCACTCTTCCTCCCCCCTCTCCTCCTCCTCTTCCTGCTTCTCCTCCTCGTCCTCCTCCTCCTCCGCCTCCTCCCCCTCATTTGTTATATTTCTCCGTCCTTGTCCTCCTGTCCCCGTTCTCCTTCTCCCTCTCCTCCTCCTCCTCCTCCTCGTCGTCGTCGTCCTCCTCCTCTTCCTCCTCCTCCTCCTCCTCCTCCTCCTCTTCCTCCTCCTCCTCCTCCTCCTCCTCCTCCTCCTCCCCTCCTCTCCTCCTCCTCCTCCTCCTCCTCCTCCTCCTCCTCCTCCCCCCTTCCCCCTCTTCCTCCTCTGCTATCACTCCTCCATAATTCCTGTCCGCTCCTCCCCTTCACTGATCTTCCTCTTCGTCATCATCATCCCTTTCGTCGCACGCCTCTTAATCCTCAATCGGTTCCCAATCTTCTCGACTTTCTTGTCATCCGCGTCCTTGGCTGTTGGAGGGGCCTCAGGAATTCTCAGGGCTCTTGTGTTGCACGCGAAGGCACACCTCCCAGGAACGCATCATCCTCCTCACATTCACCCTCCTCCTCCTCATCCTCCTCCTCCATGCACGTTCGGCTCAAGCCCGCGCCGACGGTAGGTTTCACGGCGGTTGGGCGGGCTCGCGCCCGCCTCCGCGGCCTGCAGTCGGGGCAGAGATGCGTGCAGGGTGGGATGACAAAGCGGAAGAGGAAACACGGGCCGCAGTTGCGGATTCTTCAAAGAGCAGCGGCGGCGGTTGGGGAACAAGTGGGGGTTGGGGCGGCCGCAGTGGCGGATACGGCGGCGGAGGTGACCGCAGTGGCGGCTGGGGCGGCGGAGATTCTCTTGGCGGATGGAGAGGAAAAGCGCAGGATGGCGGCGACGGAAGTGACCGCAGTCGCGGATGGGAGGGCGGCGGATGGGGCGGCAACGGATGCGAGGGTTGGGGAATGGAGGGCGCCCGCTGGTGGGACGACGAGGGTGGCTGGTGGAATGCATGGGAAGGTGGCCGCTCGAGTGCCTCGGCAGGTTCTCCTGCCGCGGAGCCCGCGGCCGCAACAGCGGCGGGCAAAGGAGGCGGTCCCCTGCTTCCCCCAGGGCGCGAAGAACAAGGCGCAGTTGCGCTGTTTCAAATTGTGCGCAATGAGCCGCTGCCAATTTTCAAGTTGGAATTCTTCGAGAACTTCAGGGCGAACTGGAACGGCAATTATAAGCAGCACAACGCGGCCTTGAAGTGGTTCCGAGACGAGTACGAAGACCGAGAAAACCCTTTCGGCAGCCGCACGCCCGTCTTCGGAGGTACCGCAGTTGCGGAGGAAATTTCGAAGATCCTTAAGTACCGCGCAAAGGGGAAGGCGCAGGACAACAGGGATTGGGACTGGGACCACACTGTCAAAGTGCCGTGGTCTTGGCTGGAGATGGTCGCGCAGATGGATGGACCTACAATGCTGCGCGTCGTGTGCGGCCCTGACAATGACCGCAGTCGCGGGTTGGTCCGCTGCGAGTGCCGCCCGTGCCCTAGCAGTCTCGACAACATGAGGCACACGAAAGGGGTGGACAGAGGACAGGCGCAAAGAATCCCTCTGCCCCAGTGGGATTTCGTCCTCATCCGCGACGACGGCTCGGGCATTCGCGTCCACCCATCCTGGTCTAGCCCGAAGTTCAACACGTATGAGGTGGAGCCGCACTCGCATCCCGTGCGGGGCCCGAGGGCAGGTCTCGGCAAGAGCGATGGCCACGGAACGTTCACGTTCTGGAAGATGCTGCACGCCCATCCGAATCCTGGGCGGTTCGACGCGAGCAAGGGGGCGCAGCTGCAACCGCGGTGGTCCGCGCAGCCTTGACACCGCAGTTGCGGGATTGCGCAGCCATGGAACCGCAGTTGCGGGGACCGATCGCGTGACGCCGCGCTCGTTTGACTCACTATGCGCGCTTTCGGCCGCAGTTGCGGCGCTGCCTTCTAGCGACTTCATACAGCTTGGCCGCAGTTGCGGCGCTCCCACGACTGACCGCTGTAATTAGGTGCTTCGGGCGCGCATCACCTCCGTTGAAGCACTCGTGACGTTAATTAGCGCGGCCGCAGTTGCGGAGACAGGTACTTAAACAGATGGATCCGCAGTTGTTCGTCGTCCTCGTCGCCCCTTCCCCGTCGTCCTCGTCGCAGTCTCCTCCCTCCGCCTTTCCTCCTCGTCGCAGTTCCTTCCGTTGGCCGTAGCCCGCCTCCGTTGGCCGAGTCATTTCCCGTCGTCCTCGTCGCAGTCCCCCCCGAGGGCCGCAGTTGCGGACTTTGTTGATTCCTCCTCCTCCGTTTCTGCCCCGTCATCCTCGTCGCAGTCCCCTTGCTCCTTTCACCCTCGTCTGAGCTCTTCGCGCCATCCTCTTCCGTCGCGTCCTCTCCATCCTCCTCTTCGCCTTCCTCGTCCTCATCCCCGCCGTCTCCCTCGTTGTCCTTCCTCTCCCAAGCCGGCCGCAGTTCCCCCGTCGGACGGGGGCCGCGCGCGGCCACGCCATGGACCCAGGTCGCAAAGCCGAGGTCGACAAGCGGTTCGCCGAGCTGAAGCAGCAACTGCGGGAAAGGTTCGGCCTGCAAGGGGCTGCCGCGGATGCCGCAGTCGCGGAGCCGACGGAGGACCGCAGTTGCGGAAGCCCCGAGCGACCGCCGCGCGAGGCCTCCCCGCAGTCGTCTAGCTCCTCGCGGGAATATCGGCCGCCGCCGCCGATAAGCGCTGCGAGTGGGAGCTCTGCTGGTGGGAGGCGCGAAGAGGCGCAGTTGCGCAGGGCGCACTTGACCCCCAAGGCAAAATGGGGGCCTCGGGCGCAGACGCCGACGAAGCAGCAGGACCAACCAGCAGTGACGGGAGCCGCCACCGAGACCGCAGTTGCGGGGGTGGCCGGCGAGCCAGGTGCCGCGCGCGGCTCATCTGGGAGCAGCGCGCCCTCGGCCGTGCTGCTCGCAGCCGAGTCCAAACGAGGCGCCCAACCCGAAGACGAGGCCGCCTCCCAGGAGAAAGCCGCCGAGACAATCGCCTCGGCCGATTCGCGGCCGAGGAAAAGGCCGCCTCCCACGGAAGGCTCGCCGCTGTCAGAACCGCAGTCGCGGGGTCGCGCGGGGCCTCCGTCGGAACCGCAGTTGCGGGAAGATGCGGGAGCACCGCGGAAGAAGCAGCGGACCAGGTCCCCTCCAGGGATAAACTACGTTGGGGAACGCCCCAAGTGGAACGAAGGATTCCTTCGTACAGCAGACGGCAATCGGGTTCCGTCCACCATCGCTTTGGTGTTCAACGTGGTGGTCATCACGAAGGTGGCAACAAAGGAAGATGTCTTCAGGTGCATCTTGCACCAAACTGCGGCGGTCGTCTTCGTCGTATGGGACCCCGAGCTGTTCCGCACGGGGAACGTCGAAGGCGCTTGCAGCTAC